CTGCCAGTCTTAATTGGTCCTAACTGAAATCTGTATTCCATTGGCTGAATTTTAAGATTTTAAGGTTAAGACCGAAGCATAAACAAAGCATTAGTGCGCCTGCGCATTGAGTGCGTACCACGCGAGTGTCGTGCGGTCAAATGAACACGTGACACTAGCCAAGTGCGCATTGGCACTGCCAATTGAACACGCTCTTGACACTGGCTGCGTTCCGTTTCACGCATGATGCGCATGATGCATCTTTTATCCTTGTTATTCACCGAATGTTAAGCGGGGAGCACAGACTCTTGCATAACGCATAACACGTAATGCATAAGAAAATGTACCAATCAAAGCCCTCCGTTTCCTTCCTTTCCATGAAATAAAGAATTCTGATTGATTGAATTTCTTATGCATTACATGTTATGCGTTATGCAAAAGTCTGTGCTCCCCGCTTTAAACAAGAATAAATGATGCATCATGCACATCATGCATAAAACGGAATGCAACCACTGAGTGCAGCCAGTGCACCCCAATCGAAAACGATATTAATTTCAGCAATGTATTTAAAGAATGATGTTTGGAATGATGTTCTATTAAATTGGTAGAATATGCAAAATGATTAATTAAATACACATATCATGTTTACACGTTTCGTCCAAATTAAGATAATTCAATAGAAAGTTACTAGTTAGTATCCGTATCAAGTGCATGATGTAAACTAGGGCTGCATTCCGTTTTACGCATAATGTGCACGATGTATCATTTTATCCTTGTTTGACACTCGGCGAACGACAAGGATAAAATGATACATCATGCGCATTATGCGTGAAACGGAACGCAGCCTGGGCAATTGATACATCATGCGCATCATGCGTGAAACGGAACGTACCCCTATATCATGTTTGTTTATAGGTCATCGAAGTCTGTGGAATGTGTGGAACAGTCTGTGGAACAATCTGAGCCTTGGTGTAGCACCCCGGTGTAGTTAGTCGTGTCAATTGGTGTCAATTACGGTTACGGTGTGAATTTCATGATGAAGAGAGTACATTTCGCGTCGTCCTTGGAATGGGAAGGAACAGGTGACATGGTTGACGAACGTTTATATAATTCTACCGCGCAACAAACGAACGATTACGCGCATCTGCAACTGATAAATCTTCCCGATGTTTGCTTAGAGGCGATTTTGTCTAATCTCTCCTACGATGAAATTTCTAAATATAGGATCGTAAGTTCGCTCTTTGATATCCGCAAGGAGGATTCTCACTTCCTCGTCGCGAAACATAGGTTCCACAATGTGCTTTTTAGGTTTGCAGACAGTTCGATCGGATCTGCAAGAAGCTGCTCAACCGTGGCTTCAATCTCATGGAGAAATATCATGCACAATGCCTCCGCACTGTCAAAAGCAAGCTGCCGAGAAGGGAGTCGGAGCGACGGAGCCATCCTCTTGCGCGTCATTGCGATATCTTGACGGCAATAGAAACGAGAATCTCTATGCTATCAATGACTTTTATCAAATATGTTGATCTGAACGTTTGTTGCTTTATACCAGGAAAGGTAAGGGGCTGTGCACAATCAAAAGAAATAAGGAACAGAGAACAGAGAAAAAAAGTTTCAACCTATTAGAAACTGTATTCCATAGTACATGATTTCTGATAAGTTGAAATTCTTATTCTCTGTTCTCTATTTCTTGGATTGTAGGCAGCTCCTAATAAATTTTTGTCTTATAAAATGATTTCTATATCATTACTTGATATATAAATATTTCTTATGTTTAGGCTCTTATTCTGTTAACTCTTAGCAATACTTAATGTTGTTGCATTATTATTGTTTTGGTTTTACATATGGTAAAAAACTATGCAAGGACAATAAGTCTGCTTTTTTTATTTATACATTAGATTGTTCTAGAACTTTCTTTCTTGCTTTCTCCAAATATCAGATATTGTATATCTATTTCATTTTGAGTTTTAAAAAAGTTTGTTTGCATTGTGTGTTCCAACATGTTTCAACATGTTTCTACTATAACTCCTACTCTCTCTAACAAATGTTGGAATGTGTAAGATATATGGTAACAACATGTTGAAGCATGTTGCAGAAAACAGACCTTATATAACAGCACTGATAACTATCCAAGATTTGCAGAATAAGGGCATTAAAATACTTTGGGCCACTTTCACCAATTTCTATTAACTTAATCGGCTGATTAGTCCATTGGAATTGACCAATCATATTTGTCATTTTGTTTGACGACAGATGACGATTGGCCAATTTCAATGGACTAATTGGTCAATTAAGTTAATCGGAGTTGGTGAAAATGGCCCTTATCATATATTTCAAGAGACACTCTTATTCATGTTACACTTATTCAACTTACAAATATTATATTATTGAATAATAAGTATGCTACATTATATATATTTTAGGTAATTGATGAAATTTTCCGTGTTCTTCGATTGATTCGAGAGACAAAGACACCACCTAGAGCACATGAGATACTTCAGGAACTACGGGATATAAGCAGTATGGCCATGGAACATTTTGATGAGAAAATCCTGCCAGATCTGAAACACAACATTTGCACATCCATGGTTGGTACTGTAAATTCATATGATTTACCTGGTGGCGTCATGATCTCCCACGGTAGGAACATAAATAACTCTACACTGCCACATTGCAACAATCATAATATAACCTGCTCCGAGAAGCTTAACCAGACTTTTAAGAAGATTAATGATCGTATGAAAAAGAACAAAATGTTCTTTCTGTCTATGAAAAATGAAATTACTAGAATGAGACTCAGGATACAGAGACAAGAGCATCTGGTGCGACATCAAAATTTGAAGTTACATAAACAGGCAAAAAAGATACATGATCAAGACACACTGTTAGCTGAAGTGCGAAAACACCTCGAGGAATGGGAGCAGAAGATGGTAGATTTGACTACCGAAGTGAGTCGTGCACGGGAAGGAACTCAGAATCCCGATTCGTTAGAAAATCGCAAACGAAAAACACATATTATCAACACCGATGCCGAGCCGCTTCAGCAGACGAACGAATTGCAAGCCAAGAAACGCAAGCTCATAGTAGAAAGAAAAACGTCAAGCGACGCGAAAGATGTAAAGTTCAAACAATTTATGTCGAATTTACTTTCGAAATCTACATTAGATGGTTATCTCATTGATTCATCATGTCCGCGCTAACTTGGCCCATTTTACATTAACAGTTCAGGTGTGAAGGTTTTTGCAGAATTATACTCTTTATAAAATGCATTTTTCAACTGTTGTGGCGAAATAGATATAATGATTACAACGTACACTCGGTACATTTAAATTCTAACTCGTTAAAAATTACTTTCAAGTAATACTTGTAAGAAAGTTTATGCGTTAATAATTTTGTTTATAAAATTGCTTCTTGTCCGATTATAGGAAACAATATATAAACTAATGTATTTTGTTGAGTTTATTAGTGCTTTACTTAAGATTCCTGTGTATCCAGGGTGTGTAATATATATCGAGCATTCCATGTAAAATGAGCCATCCTTTTTTCGTCAGGAAGGATATTTTTTATTTTGATTTAATACTGCTTAAAATTTTCCATGTTAGATCAAAATAAAAAGCGTCTGAAAATATTCTTTCTGAGTACCTATCATGGAACAAGTCGGAATGAATTCCAATCGGAATTATTTCATTTTCCCTAGGAAATACAATAGAAATCCAGGAAATAATTGAATAATTCTGATCGGAATCAATTTCGGATAATTGCACAATACGTATCCTGATGAAAAAAGGATGGCTCTTGATGTGAAATGTTTGATGTATATATTTTGTTAATATATAGATATATATGTATATATATATGTGTATTAACAAAACATATTTAAAAAATGTCTTTTCAGATAAATGCCATGTAAAATTGGTTAAAATATAATTTTATTGCAAATATTAAGAAATTGAAAAAGAAGGACAATAAACTATGTTGTAATAACATATTAATGTACATTTTATTAAAATATTATCAATATTTTAATAAAATGTACATTAATTTTATTAAAATAATATTTTAATAAAATATATATTAATATACGATTTCATTAAAATACTATTTTAATACAATAATGTCAAAATATTATTTTAATGACATTAAATAACTTTAATCATTGAAAGACATTGATCTTAATTATAGTATTACAATTTTTTTAACATGTGTATAATTGATTTTATTATACTTATATATGTAAAGTTATATATAATCATTAACATATAAAAGACTGTATTCATATTAAACATTGATCAACATGTGATTTGGCTTGACATTTTATCACCAATTATATAATTCACTATTTTATAGAGACATCTAAAATGGAGGACATATTTTTCGGAATATAATGTACATAAACTAAAACAATTTAGTTATTATTAATTTACTGATATAACGACACATATCACATAATCAATCAATATTAAAAAATATGATAAACTTAATATAGAATTTAGACATGCAATTATAATGTTACATAATTGATCGAACTACAACGTTAATATATTTTTTTATGTTTATTTGTATAGCATAGATATCCGATTATATTCAGAAATTCAACATTTACACAAATTCGACATTTTTAGTAATATTATTATAATAATTAACTTTTATTATAAAAAAAATACAAAATAGCCTTCGGATAAAAAAGTAGCCTTTAATTTCTAACACATATTATTGAGCTTCCATTAAATCGCTTTGTGAATCTATTTTTGGATCTATTTTTGAATCTGCTCGCTTTTTATTTTCCGTATCTGTTTTAGGAATTGGAAGTTCTATTTCTTCTGCCTCGGTATTTTGTTTCTGGAAAAAATAATGGATATTTTTATATAAAAGATAACACAGTACAAGCAAATCATCAATCTTTACCATATTTTCAGTCATGCAGGTTTGTACATTTTCATCTTGTACAGGAACTTCTTGATCAACAACTTGCGATGGTTCAATAGGTAACTCTAAAATTTTTTCGTAAAGTGATATGTACGCATTCCTCATATAACTTTGCTGTTGATCACGAATCTTTTTTCTCATATTATGTTTTTCCACCTCCGGTAAAACAAAATTATAAATCATATCCGTTACCAATTCCTCATCTGCTAACTTATCAGCGCTGCAAAAATATTGTATTTTATACATTCTTTTGATGAAATAATTTGTTTACATTTATTGGTTATCAATGTTCAATCATATCTTACTTTTCTGCGGCATGTTTCGTTACAGCATCCACTTTATCGCAAATTTCTAAAATATGTTCTTTAGCCATCTTATCGGATATCCAATCAATTTCTTCTTTCACAATATCTTCCAAGTACGCTTTTACCGAGTCTTGATTTACTTTCATGATTTGCTTGAACATTTCATCAAATTCTCGTCGTCGGTTACGTTCTGCTTGTCGCCTGCCAGCTTCGGCGGCTTCTCTCATACATCTTTCTCTTTCGGCAAGCAAGGCAAAGGCGTGAGCTCTACGTTCGTCCTCTAATCTCACCAACTCCTGTAGTTGATGCAGGAGATAATCAAGTGAACTGTTTCGCGATAAAAGATTACAAAACTTACCTTGCTGAGAAAATCTAATGTCCCACAGATTGTCTTCCCCTCTAAGGAATCAAGAATCTCGCACAAACGATTTTCTTGCATTGATTGATGCTCTTGTAATTGTTGCAAATTAATCATATGTGTCTTTTCATCGTGATCTTCGTGTTCAAGCACTTGAGTCGATTGTAATTCCTCGATTAGCTCTCTGCATCTATCGCGTCCTTTGTACATCTGTAGCATAATAAATATAAAATTTTATCTTTCTCATATTATACAACTCTATAAAATCTCGTTTTCTATGTCTATTTTAAAAGTATAATGAATGATCGGATTTGTAATTTACCAGACATTGTATCGCTCTGCCTTTAACAAGCTTCTGAATAAATGTAGCAGATTCTTCTCGTTGTTTCTGCTTATTGTTCCATGTACCCGATCTGCGCGGTGTGATAGGCAAAACTGGCTGTTCGTGATTACGCCTTACTAATCTTGGACCTTCGTCTACAGATTTGACTTTCATTCGAATGGCTTTCAAATCGGAATGAAGCTGCTTTAGTTTTTCCTCCGTCCATCTGGTTTCTCGTATGCAGATGTTTATCGGTTTAGGTCTATGTTTGATCACTTTTGGTTCTTCAATAGTGGGTAGCCAACTAAGCGTTGCATCTTCTTCTTCTAAATAACAATTGCGATGAATTGAATAGCAGTAATTGCGTATTAATTACAATTAAATAAAATTAAATATATACTCACGCTCAATATGACATTCACTTGGGAGTTGCTTCGGCAAAATTTCATGCCGCCTCTGGGGATGTTCACCGAAACGCATTTGCGGTGCATACAGATCAGATTTGAAATCGATATGCCGTTCAATTATGTCGGGTTTGCGAGATTGATGTTCGTTGCGATGTTTCTTATGTAATTTTCGCAGATCTCGTTTAAGATTATATCTGATAGCCTTGATTTGAGTGTCTCGATATTTGCTTAGTTTGCTCTCGAGTCTACTGAAACGACCCTGCACTTTTTCCTCATATTTTGATTCACGACTTTGTAGAAGATTCCTCATTAGGTCCAGACGTAAATCCATTATGAATTGAATCTCCTAAAATTATAATTAAAGAAGGAAGAAATGTAGGTGTTACATTAGGTAATCGGATTGAGATAAATGATTGAGATTCTCCTTCATGTTTTGAAACACTCACCGACTCTCGAAATGCCCATTCGTCTATCTCTAAGGCCGTTATTATTGAATTTCGCATTTTTATGTTGGCCGGTGTATCCATCGGCGGTAGAATGGCTTCCCAAGCTCTTTTTATCCGCATCCTGTTAATAACTTGTACTTCATGGACACCTGCAGGTAGTCCATGTCCCCAAGTTAGATGAGCCAATGTCAATACTTCAGGATTATGATCTAAATGAAAATTAGAATATAGTAAAATTCTCGCTTCGGCATTTCCAGCTTTGCTTCTTCCTCATGTTTTGTTTCTTCGGCTTTGTTGATTGACTTATATATTCTATGAATCTGATATAGTATGACTGCAATATAATTGTTACCTGGAACAATTTTACATGGTGGCTCCCAAGGTTCAGTTTGCGCCTCGCTCTCCCTATAATCCGTCTGCGTTTCTGCATTTTTGTACGGTTTTGATTTAGAGAATGCAGTGTAACATCGTCTCTGTGTATTTTTTAGAATTCCATATAGAATCTTGCGCTCCAAACAGTGTGGTGAGATATCTGCAGTCTGGACTTTTGGTGTTACAAAGGGTACCATAGATTTTCGAAAATGTTTGTACGTATCTCCGCCAATAGATCCGATTGTTTTATTTTGTACAGCCATTCTATAAAGCAACAGAGTTTAAAGTTTCTTAACTTGATCGATATCTCTGATAGAAAGATAGAAAAATAATATTTTGAATGTAAAAGACTTGAATGAATGAGAGAACATTCTTAGAATAAGAACAATAAGCAGATTTACCCAAAATTTAAAGAATAATTGCATAATTTGTATTTTACTAAAAAATCATCCTTGTCATCTTGAAACTTCTTGTTATCTAGAATTTCGAAATATTCACATGTTTGCTAGAAGAATATGAATGTTAGTAAATTTAAGAAGAATCGTATGTCCATATTCAAGTCTTACAAAAGTATACTCTATTAATAAACACTTACAAATAGATTGGTTTTCCGAGCATTTGACAATCTGAAATGATTGTTATTGCTGCACACAGTGTAAGTATAATCCGCTAATGCATCATTAAAAAATTGTTAATTATCGACTAACCGTTAAACTTATGTGACATATGTTCTCTTACGACATTTCATGCTTCTTTCCGCCATAATTTGCATTGTACTTAATTAATTACAGCTTATTATATGCTGCATTTACAACGTTTGGCTTATCCTATTCTTGCAAAAACTGTAAGAATAAAGTATCTGTCTCACATAAAAGTAACAGTCAAATCGTGATGTAAGAAGCAGTAAGGAAATTTCTAATAAACCAATATTGATCAAACAGTATGCCATAGCAATAGCAACGAAAATATACAGGAAGAATTAATATACAGTTGATCAATTAATACACATTTTATATTCTTCGAATACTTGTGTTACACTTAACAGTGATTAAATGTTACATGGTACATTTATATTATCCTACAAACGTAATTAATGAATCTTAAAAAAAGCAATAGCATTTAAAAACTTTGTGTAATAAAATTATTTTTCTTGTTTTTTAAATTAATAGAAAATGCATATAAGAAGGCATATAAATCGATAGCACCAGAATATATCTTTGTTAGTTACATAGAATAGAAATTTGTATCTGTTGATACAATCAATTTATATATCAATTTCTGCAATCGTAAGTTATGATAAATTTTATAATATATTTGTATACACACACATAAAAAAACTGTTGCAGTCTCCTTTGGCACATACAGTTACTTCTTCATTCATAATTTAAAAAAAAACTTAATTATCAGTAAATAATTAACAGATATGTGATTACAGCAATTCTCTTAAAAATTAAATGATAACAGTTTTAAATGCGAGAGCAACAATACTCTTATATGTACAAATACGTGTATATATATTTGCATCCTTTTTATTTCGCGAAGAAAACTGCATATAAATATTAATATATATTACTTTATATAACAATATTGATTAGAATTACGATTGTTATTGTATACTTTTACAAATAGCGCACGCAACTATTTGATAATTTTTAAATTACGTTAATCGTTAACGACTCCATTAGAGAACGTTACAATTTACAATAAAAGTTTTCTCAATAATTCATATAATTCGACAAGATATTATAATTTCTTCAAATATTTAATTTATGTAATGGCTTAAAATAGCCATTTCCAGAAGAGCCTAGATATTCTGGCCAGCTCTGATGTGTTGAAATATTTTTGCATGTTTGATTAGGTAGCATATCCTCTGGACATACGCATTCTAGTTTCATCCTGTATATTGTCATTTGACCAAACGCGATTTTGGTATTTTCCCTATCCATTGCCTCTTGATATAATCTATAATTAATGCCTCGCTCAGATAAACATTCACTGATGATGTCGTCATCTTTTTTGTATTCAAGTTTATCCTCTAATAATGCTTTCTTCTTGTCAATGCACTCTACATCTGCTCGAGACAAGATCAGAGACACTTCAGACGACGGTAACCAGAACGTAGGAAACACTAAATCTATCGACGTCTTTCCTTTGGATTCGATAATAGACGGTAGTAGAATACCGGTTGGTGCCTGCTTCTGAATGCCATTGATACCGTTCGACTGATTGTCGTTAATTTCCGAGTTCCGTTTCGTTTTTCGTTTCTGTCGTATTCTAACAATTTTATCAGTTGACGACAATATCAGTAATTGCTTCTTATTAATCTTGCCTTTACTTTGATTTTTCAGTGATTCCCGTTTAAATACTTTTTCTATACTAGCATCATCATCCGCGTCTTGGACAATACTAGGGAAACTATGCTTATAAATGTGTCTTCGCTGAGTCACGTCTATGATTTTCTTAGTAGTGGAAGTTTCGTCTGGATGACCAGTAATTATTTGATTTTTAATAACATTTGATGCTTCAGTACGTGTGTCTTCTGGCAATTCCGTACTCATATTTGTGCTCTTTATTTCTATTAATTCGCTCGTCTTTAATACAGTCTGTATTGTAGTAATCTTTTCGATATTTGATTTATTGTTCGACATAGTTAATGGTAACTCTTCTTGAAATTGTGAAGTTGACGTCATTGACATATCCATTATATTATCAGCTTCATTCATTGAGCCATTCCTTTTGTCGTTGATTTCTTTCATTTCTCTCTTTTTTTCTGTGTTAATTTCCTCGTAATCGAGTCGTAAATTGTGTCGCGTCGATTCAGGTGTTGAATTAATTTCTTTATGAGAAATATTTATCCAATATAGATCTTTTACAGGGACGACACTCCTCTGTTCTCGCACTTCACCTTGCGAATAATCTATATTCTGTCCGTCTTCATTGTTACCGTTATCATTTTCATATATACTATCATATTCTTTATCCGGCTGTACATCCTCCATCCATTTGTTGTCCTGCTTCCATGTTTGATCTACGTTTGAATTCTCTACAGTGTCTTCGGGATTATGTTTCTTATGGCTCTTGAATTCGTCGAAATTCTCATATACCGCGTCCGAATCGTATTTGCCAATCTCGAGTAGACTATCTTTGTGTTTGAAGATGCTGTCTTTCCGATGGTTTTTATGAACTTTCGGCGATCTCTCAGAAACGAGCGGTATATTCGCATAAGTATCCGTGACCTTTAATCGTGAATGGGACTTCAGATTCTTCTCTTCTTCTTTTCGTAAGTCGATTGAATTATTGAACTCTACCGACTTCCAGTCCTCCGAGAAGTATAACGACAATCCAGGCGGGCCAACATGTTGACTCAAAGCCAGTAATCTCATAGTAAGCGTCGAATTGAATCTCAGGGAGCAAAGATCAGTGCGAGTTTGCGACATGAAACTCTGACCTTTCAAAAACTGATATTTTTCCTTGATTCCCTCGTAATTTAAACAGTCGGTGGACCAATGCAAAAACCAATCGTTGCCGAATCCGTCGACAGTGACCGATAATCCAGACATTTGTCCGCTTAAGCTATCCTCCATCGGTTTCTCGAGCAAAGGCTGTCCGTTACGACCGTCTATGACTGTAGCTATGGTGTAATAGTACGTGGATAATCCTGTACCTATTTGATGCTTCACCATAAAGTCTGGTATATCGTCGTCGTTATAATAACCGGGAATGGGAATGCTAATTACTTCGGAATTAGGAACCGTGTAATTCCAGATAGGCTCAAACGTAGTTCCATTGTATGCTATAATCGTAGAATTGAACATAGCAGCGACAATATCTTCAATTCCATCTGATGTAATATCAATTAAGATCGGTGGCAACAGCGCATTTTTGCCAGTATTATGATTGAGCTTTTGCAATTGCTGCAACAAAAGTATTCAAAGTAGCAATTAACACAATAATCTTTTCATATTAATAAAAGAAAATCTAACTGATTTTATTATGACTACATACTAAATCACCGTAAAATATATTAGCTTGGGACACTATATATAATCCTCCAGAATCTTGTTGACTGGTTGTAGCTAGAACGAATATATTTTCTCCATCAGGATGCACTATAATTTGCGGTGCTACGAACAATTGCTCTGTATCGGGTAAATTCATATTGCGTATGACACTGCCGCTTCTACCCGATATCACGAGTACATTGCTTGCTTGAATATTGTCTGATTGTACAACATGCGACGCTATTACATCGGCAATACCATCGCCGTCCATATCAGCTATAAATCTTGCATCATAGACATCCAAAATTATTTGTAACTCAGAAATTAGATCTTGAAGTGGTATCTCCCATATATTGGAACCATCATGGCCATCAATAGCTTGCAGTATCCCACCACGTCCAGATATGATACAATCCTTAACTTTGTCGTACGTCAAGTCTGCATCACAGTCAACAGAAAGTATGGAATGGGCAGTCCAATGTGTCCAGATAGGTTCACCCGTTTTACCATTTAGTGCTAGTACACCACCTAGACACGGTGTTTGATTTCCAAAATATATAGTACAGATATATTCCGTATCCATCATATCCAGACCTGAATTTATAAATCAATGATCTTTACAGTAACCGATTAAATTAATAATCTAACCAGAAAAAAACATTAATAATTCACCTTAGATAACATTATGACACTTAAGAAACATCATGTAAATGTCAAACCAAAATCTGTAAAAGAAGCAAATAAAATAAAAATAGCCAAATACAAATCACAATGTAACATATGTACAGTATACATATGTAACATATGTACAGTATATGGAAATTATAAATTATAATATATATGAAAAGAAAGTAAAATAAAATTAAAATAATAATCACAAAAAAAGATCCATTTATTTGATTTAAACATAATACTTTTTATACCTGTACTAAATCCCACAATAATATCTTCAATTCCATCGGAGTTAACATCATTACTCCTAAGAGGTGCCTCAGGTGTTAACTTTGGAAACGATCTGGCCCATAAAACATTGGACGAGAGTGAGGTACATGGAATTACCTCTGATTCATTTACAGGATTTTTTAGATCGTGTGACATCCAGCTTTTTAATATAGTTAATGGCATTGGGAATATATTTGCAGTAAATATACAAACTACAATTAAGCCTAACAGCACAATCAATGCTGTAGTTCCACAGCACACTGGCACAAGAAGCATGTTGTATGGAATCTTATGGTTCTCCAAGTTGCAGGGCTTTTTGCATTTTCTACGGGGTGCCATGAGAGGCTGTTTCACTCCGCCATCGTCGTCTAATTTTAATCCGCCGTTTCTACCATCCCTAATAAATACTTCGTCATCGATGTCGGTGAGATCATCGTCATCGAGGTTGTCTCTCACTGCCAGTTTCGGTAAAGTCGGATATACCGCTGACATGTTGTCAACACTTGCAAAAATAAACTCAGAAAATTAAACGAGAGAATTTTATATTTATGAATTTGGTCGATTACGAATTGAATAATGGGTTAAACATCAGCAAAAATTTTGAAATTAGAAACATATGTACGTACATACCTGGGGATACGTTTTATTCTTTCTTAAAATTCTTTAAACGCATGCAAAATTTGAACTTTTCCTGATTCTCGCACTGTACGCTCACCAGGCTCACCTACGCTTTCATAAAACCGTTATATGTACTGCGACGCCTACTGCGATTAAAAAATGTATACAAATAAAACATACTTGCACATACACATCACACAATATTTACGCAGAGAGAAGCCCGAAAAGCCTCAAAGCGGCCATCTCAGCATTCCCGGCTTTTTTCATGGAATCATCGAAACCATAGACATAAGGGCTACGTTTACACCGTGCATTTAGGCCGCGGCCTATACAATAGATGTCCTTGTTTATCCTGTAGGTTAAACAGACACCTATCGTATAGGTCGCGGACTAAGCGCACAGTGTAAACGTAGCCAAGTTCTGTTCGCGTTGCTTGCACTTTTTGCACTCTATAGGTTTGTTCTCATTTGTTCGCGTCACAAACTCTACATGCTTCAACATGCTCCTAGGCTGCGATTCACTTGATGCTACAAACGCTTCGAAGCATTCTTTAATTAGTCAATTCGTAAAATTCTTTGTTCTGATTGGCTGCTCAAACGCTTCGAAGCGTTTGTAGCGTCAAGTGGATCGCAGCCCAGGGTTGCGTTCGGAAACATCACCTGGGTACTCCATGTATCATCTTATCTTTGTTTAACATTGAATGAACACAAGGATAAAACGATACATGGGGGTACTCGGGTAATGTTTCCGAACGCAGCCTATAGCTCCTACTCACTCTATTAAGCGCGTTGGAGTGAGTAAGAACTATGGTAGGAGCATATTGGAACATGATTACGGATTGCGGACTGTATATGACGGCACCCTTAAGCGGGGAGCACAGACTTTTGCATAACGCATAACATGTAATGCATAAGAAATTCAATCAATCAGAATTCTTTATTTCATGGAAAGGAAGGAAACGGAGGGCTTTGATTGGTACA